TTCATTGCAAAAATGCTCTCTATTTTCCTAACAATGTTGCCTCTGCTTATTTACGAAATGTACTTTAGATTTCTTGGAATTCTGCATCTATTTCACTTATATTTATACTTTCAAGAGAAGTTCAAATTCCCTTGTTTATCCTAATTAGCTTTCTCTTAATCGTTATTCGGGTTATTAGGAGGGTTTAAGGCTGGTATTAGGAAGTCCAAGCCCAAAATATACCGCATCTAACTTTGATTTACAGTGTATAGTCAGTACTTGATTTTTCCTTTACTGAATTCACCTCTCAGCAAAAACGCCTTTTCCGGCACGCAGTTCTTAAATTTGTTGAGGTTTTTCCTGGCATGTAGCGGTATTTTTTCCAACTTATTCAAAATGCTTGTAGTAAATACTGCTCCTCCAAATGGTGTCGAAAGCACAATCCCTTGGGACCCGGAGTGCCAATTATTACGAATCACATACTCGAAAACTGACCACTCACCACTGACCTTCTGTTGTTGAAACGCAACAAATCAATCATTCATGAAATTTTGTTTCTTTTTATTGCCACGTCATTCCTAGTCTTCTGCTTTGTATACAAGCATTAAAAAGGCTGTTTGCAGAACCCGTCTCCACTTTATTGTACAAAAAAAATGAGCTGCATAGGTATTGTTGTGTGGAAAATCATCTTACGCTTCGTTCAACCTGTATGGGTAGGGATAATGCTTTGTTGTTTTGAAGTGTTCGGAAGTCAATTGAATTTGTAAAAGTTTGTTTATTTGACTGAAAGAAGTAGTGTGCGCCAAGTGGAGGAGGTGGAATTAAGAGAACTCAAACTTTCGATATGCTGGGTATGCTTGTATATATGCAACTGACCCAACAAGTTTAAATTAACGTTAAGTAATAAACTAGCTTAAAACCACTCATCGTTGTGCGATTTAGGTTAAATAGTCTCATTTACTGCATTTCCGGCCAGCTTATAGCGATAGCCTTCGAGGATTCAAACAGTCGGTTTACAGAATAGCAATTCTTTTATTAAATTTGAAAATCTTCCACTTATGATGTAGCTAATGCTATCTGTTTGGTAACAAGCAGCCATCCATAAGACTTAAAAGGACATATATCACACATGTTTATTTTAACCTTTTCCAATAAGGTTAAGTCAGAATACTTTCAGGCATTTGTTGACTTTATTTTAAACTTGTCCCGTTTTGAAAACTGCAATGTGATATGTGCTAAATCTTCTTAACTTCCACTATCTCCTTGGGCTGTGGCCTGCTAGAAAGATAAAAGAAATCCTACGTAGGTACGTCTCAAACCTAACGGCCGCTTTTTTCTACAAAGGTCTGCCTGAAAGTTTAATTACCGTCATACAAGTGGATGTTTTAAAGGGTCTCTTACATTGGCAATCGCATAAATCCAAATAATTTATGTCGTAAACCATCCCACTTAAATGTGTACTCCATATAATCATGCACTTGAACTTGCTCAAAACTCCATTTTTAGATTTTTAGAAAAAGTGTAGGAAATTTTTACTTTTTACTCGAAGTACT